TGACCAGGACACTGACCAGGACACACTGACCAGGACACTGACCAGGACACTGACCAGGAGACATCAGTCAGGTCACACTGACCAGGACACTTCAGTCAGGTCACACTGACCAGGACACACTGACCAGGACACTGTCCTGGTCAGTGTGTCCTGGTCAGTGTGTCCTGGTCACTGTCCTGGTCAGTGTGTCCTGGTCTGTGTGACCTGACTGAAGTGTCCTGGTCAGTGTCCTGGTCAGTGTCCTGGTCAGTGTGACCTGACTGGTGTGTCCTGGTCAGTGTCCTGGTCAGTGTCCTGGTCAGTGTGTCCTGGTCAGTGTGTCCTGGTCTGTGTGTCCTGGTCAGTGTGTCCTGGTCAGTGTCCTGGTCTGTGTGTCCTGACTGATGTGTCCTGGTCAGTGTGTCCTGATCAGTGTGTCCTGGTCACTGTCCTGGTCAGTGTGTCCTGGTCACTGTCCTGGTCAGTTTGTCCCTGTCAGTTTGTCCCGGTCAGTTTGTCCCGGTCAGTGTGTCCCTGTCAGTGTGTCCCGGTCAGTTTGTCCTGGTCAGTGTGTCCCGGTCAGTTTGTCCCGGTCAGTTTGTCCCGGTCAGTTTGTCCTGGTCAGTGTGTCCCGGTCTGTGTGTCCCGGTCAGTTTGTCCCTGTCAGTTTGTCCCGGTCAGTTTGTCCCGGTCAGTTTGTCCTGCTCCGTGTGTCTCTCTCAAGGCCTCCTGTTGGTTTCCCTCTGACGAACCCAAAGCAATGGGGGTTGTGTCTGTGCCCCCAGGCCTGGGCAATCCCGGCACAATCCCGGGCCAGGCCAGGGATGGGGCAGAGCCCTGGGACGGGGCCCCAGCAGCCCGAACCTGCTCCAGAGGGATTGTTCCCCGCAATCCCAACACCGCAGCCAGAGCTGGTGCCAGAACCGGAACCAGAGCCGGAACCAGAGCCGGAACCAGAGCCAGAGCCAGAGCTGGTGCCAGAGCCAGAGCCAGAACTGGAGCCAGAGCCGGAACCAGAGCCGGAACCAGAACCAGAGCCGGAACCAGAGCCGGAACCGGAGCCAGAGCCTGAACCAGAGCCGGAGCCAGAGCCAGAGCCTGAACCAGAGCCAGAACCAGAGCCGGAACCGGAGCCAGAGCCTGAACCAGAGCCGGAACCAGAACCAGAGCCAGAGCCGGAGCCAGAGCCAGAGCCAGAGCCGGAGCCAGAGCCAGAGCCAGAGCCAGAGCCAGAGCTGGAGCCAGAGCTGGAGCCAGAACCGGAACCGGAGCCAGAGCCACAGCCAGAGCCGACACCAGTGCCTGTGCCTGTGCCAGAGCCAGAGCCAGAACCGGAGCCAGAACCGGAGGCAGAAGCAGAGGCAGAAGCAGAGGCAGAAGCAGAGGCAGAAGCGGAGGCAGAGCCGGAGCCAGAACCGGAGGCAGAGCCAGAACCGGAGGCAGAAGCGGAGCCGGAACCGGAGGCAGAACCGGAGGCAGAAGCGGAGGCAGAACCGGAGCCGAAACCGGAGGCAGAACCGGAGCCAGAACCGGAGCCAGAACCGGCCCCGGAGCCCGAGGAGCCGCTGCCCACACGGGAAGCGGACCGGCTTCTGCTCATCTCGGTGCCGTACCAGAGCCTGCTGAAGCTGTGTGAGCTGCTGAGGAATTTCCTGCGGTTCCTGAGGGAGCAGCTGGGCTGAGGCGGAGGATGAGGATGAGGATGAGGATGAGG